CACCCCCCAGACTCAAATATACAGTAGGCTCTTGAAGTATTCAACCATTCCTCATTTACAAGAACCCTATCCAGTTTCTTGCATATCAACCCCTCCTCTCTCTTGTTACACCAAGTGTATCTAGGACCATGATATCCCATATCAGTAAGCCTACAATAGTTAGCAATCTCCTGGAAGTTCCTCATTCCCAACGGAATTCTTGGGGATTCTTCAAAACCAGAGTGCTCATCTCCCTCTAAGATCTCATTATAATCACCTAGTAACATCCACTTCCTGTTTTTAAACATCGGAGCATCTGAATGCCTTCTCAGATCATCCCAAAGATCCTTCCTCTCTTCCATTGTGTTATATGCATATATAAAAGAACACAAAAATTCCTCATTATCCCCTGGCAACAAAACAGAGCACGTTACAATTTGTGCACTTTTGAAGACAGGAGTCATCCTAACTTGCGGTCTCCACAATACCCAAATCCTTCCCAGCCTGTTATACTCATAGTTCGCCATGTAGTTCCACTCCCTAAAATTCTCTGTAACAATCCTCTTTGCTTTATTCTCCCTCACCCTTGTTTCAATAAGACACCCAAACAGAAACGAACCATCTCTTAACCAATTACTCACCACCCCTTGCTTAGTTTTTTTATTAAAACCCCTTATGTTCCAGAAGAAGCTCGCCATTCAGTAGTTTTTCCTGGAACCCCTTTTCACATCCTTGATATGATCTGAAGTCTCAGAATTTACCACTTTATGATTAGTCTTCGATGTTCTAGGCAGAATTTGACGTATCCTCCCTTTCTTAATTGTCTCAACTTTCTCCTCTACTTTACTTTGGTGTATATCCGCTTGATCCTCCTCACTATCCATTTTCTCCATTTCTTCATCTTGTTCGTCTTCTATTTTTTCCCCTTTTTCATCCGTGTTTCTCAATGCTGCAAATCGAGAGGGAGTTGCAATGGTCACTTGACCATATTGCAGACTTTGTGACATTGGACTTCTCCCTACTTTCTCCTCTGCAACCTTTTCCCAACCCGTAACCTCACCTTCCTCCAGATTTGATTCAGACTCACTCTTTCCCTTACTATTCTCTACTTGACTCACATGACTTCCCTTTTTTTCTGCATCCCTTTCCATCTCTTCCCTCACTATTACCTCCTGTTCCTTCCCCAACCCAATACTTCTTTTCACATCATTTTCCGGTGACCCCGATATCGCCATCTTAGAACTTGTTTCTGGAGTAGTTTCAACATTCCTTTGTATCTCCACTTTCCCCTTCTCCTTCTCCTTGCAGAAAGTATCAAGGTGACCCCATCTACCGCACTTCGTGCATCGGGAGGGGAGACGTGGATACATGAAACCAATCGTTACCTCCTTACCTTGAATATTGAAGTCAATCTTCTCAGGTAGTTCTTTAGATAAATCTGCTTTGACAAACACCTTAGCAACATCAAAGTTTGAGCAAGCAATTGTCTCTGGGTGGAGACGATCAGGAACACCAATTGGACTTGTTATGAAGCTCAACCCTTCCCACGAATACATACTCATCGGAACATTTGACAAATGAATCCAGAGTGGAGTAAGATTTGCTTCCAAACCACCCTCATCTGGATTCCATTTTGAAACCACCATTGGCACTCCCGCTATGTTCCACATCCCCCTCCTAATAACCTTCTCCCGTATCAAAGAGCTAGTAATCCTAATTCTCATCGTTCTATCATCCATCTCATAGACATCCAATTTTTGTGATTGATCTCCAAACGCCCAAATCTTAGTCAGAATCATATGTACCTTCGCAATATGGGGCGCTGTTTCCAGAAACCTTGCAATCACGAAGTCATCCCATAGAGGATTCGCTTTCTCAATGATATCCATCGGAACCTCGATCGAATGTTTCCCCTCCGTGATTGAAACCTCCACCTCATACTTCTGTAGAGCCTGCTTCTTCTTCGCAACTCCAACCCACGTTTTTCCTGATTTTTGATTCACCGGCGGAGGATCCGCCGGAATCTCCGTCGTAATCTCCGTCGTATCCATCCCAACTGCCTTCGTTGACAGCAGAGATCGAAGCTCACCAATCACCGTAAAAATCGCCCTAAAAATCGCCTTTCTTCGGGTTACCAAAACGGTGCGTTTTTCCTTAGATCTGATATCTATTATATCTTTAAATAATATTTATTATATCCTTAAATAAGTGATAAATTACCAACATAAACTAAATATAATTTTGTCATTCACGAAAAAATGACAAAACTGCAAAACATTTTTTTGCCAAAACCACAAAACACATTTTCTCGTCAAAACCACAAATATGTATTTCCCCATCAAAATAAAAAAAAATATTTTTTCGCCAAAACACATTTCTCCGTCAAAATCGCGAAAATGTATTTCCCCGTCAAAACCGTATAAATGTTTTTTCCCCCAAAACGCAAAATGCATTTTCCACTAAAATTACAAAAACACATTTTCCATTCAAATTGCAAAAATACATTTTCCCATTAAAATGGCAAAAACACATTTCCCGCCAAAATTGCCAAAACGTAATTCTCTGTTAAAATCACAAAACACACAATTTTTCGTCCAAAATCGCAAAACACATTTCCCTCTAAAACAACAAAGCCATATTTTCCGGAAACCCGCAAAAAAACATTTGCCGCCAAGACCACAAAAACGTATTTTCATCAAAACCGCAAATAACATGTTTTGACGCTAAAACCATTTAATGACATTTTCCCGCTAAAACCGCAAAAATTATTTTCCCAACAAAACCACTATAGTACTTGTTCTCATTAAAATAAAAAAAAATCAAATTTCCTCCAAAAATCGTGAATATGTATTATTCTGCTAAAACCGCAAAATTATATTTCCCACCAAGACTATATTTTAAAATAATTATATTTTAGATAATTAATAAAAATTAACATAGTGAAAAATATGATTAGATTAAACAAAGATATATTAGTAAATTATGTACTAAACTTATGTAGATGAAAAGGAAAATAAAAAACGAACATAAGTCTATTTATATGATTCATTAAGATGATTCATCTGGATAGACAAATGAACAATTCCAATAATATCAGGATGAATTATTTGGATAAAATTACGCAAATGAATCATTTGGATAGAGATAACAGGTGATGAACAAACGATCTTTATATATATATATTTATTTTATTAGACCTCTATAAGAAAAATGTACTAACTAAAGCCCCTCAGCCACCATAATGTGCTTGTCTTACGAAGGCGAACAACGTAGTCTGGTCTCTGTTATACACAAATAAATAAACTTATGTAGTCAGCATTGGCAATAAGGTAAACCTCAATTCTTATCTAGAATACGGTCCAACCATACCTGATTTAAGCCGTTTGATAACGGTGAACTAGTCCAAAAAGAAAGTTATCACCAAACTTTCAATGGGGTCTAACCCAAGACTGGGGAGGCCCAACTTATTTCGAAAAGACTGTAAATCTAACCAGCTGACAACACATGGTCTGAACCTTTGTTTCCCAACACGTGCAAGTTTTGTAGTAAGTAGTGGAAGTTGAGTGGAGGGAGCGGAAGGCGATGAGTGCCCTATCCCAAGTCCAACGACTTCCATAACCAGTTCTGGACATATCAAAGAGAAACATTACTCATTTACTCTTCGACTCCAGAGTATTTTAAAAATAATGGATATAACCATAGGTCATTCAAATTATGTTTGATTAGTTTTGGTTTTCAAGTTTGTATAAAAATAGTTCTTATGTCAACGTCAATTAAAGTTGTTTTAAGATGTTTGTATGTTTGTGTTAAGTTTTGTTGCCTTATCTTGATTTTCTAAGAAAATCCTCCGAGAAAAAGAATACGATTTGACGTCGTTTTTATCTCTGACCCAGAAAAATTATGGTCGGCAGAGGCGGATCTAGCACAATACTTGGAGGGGGCACATCAAAATTTTCCATTATGTATGCTTGTAAGAAGAGAGAACATTACATAAACTAATATTAATTAGTAACTAAAATAGTAAATATCAGACGGGTCATAGGACCCCATAGGTCTCCACTTGTGTCCGCCCTGGAATTTCTTGCAATTAAAAGAAAAACACAGTTCCAAACTATCTACATTTGAGTTCGCAGGTTGAGTTGTTATTGGTGCTTCTTCTGTATCATCCATGTTAAGCTTGCAACGCAAAGTACTATTAAGAGCATCTTTAACGCACAAAGGTTTTTATTTGTGTTTTTCTCTGTTTTTTTTTTCTTATTTTTTTTAATTTTTTTAAAATATTTATATATATATATATATACCAACCGAGGGTCACCATGTGTCAGTGGAGCCCGCGTACAGAACAAATGTCGATGCTTAAAGAATCACAGAAAGCTCTGGTGGGGCAGAACAAACGTCGACACTTAAAGAATCAAAAAAATCGTTGGTGCTTCATTTTTTCGTGGATCCCGCATACTAATATATTTTTTTTTTCCTAAGCACTCAACGTAAAAGCCTGAGTTGATAATGCTCTAATAGTTGATAGACAAACAAGGTTTAATTGTAGTTTGGTCTTAAAATTGGATTCAATAAAATATTAAATCTATTTTATAGCTGATTGAAGTTTAAACTAAGCGGACTTAGGCTTTTTTGTTATTTATATAAAATGACAATGATAAAACAAAATAAAGAAAAGGGAAATATGATTTTGGCACAGTGCATGTAGATGCATCGATCGAAGTGAGATCATATGTAAATCGAATGGTATTGTTTGTTTTTATTTGAATACGGTGGGAGGGAAGAAGGAAATAAAGATGATCAGGTAATGAACGAAACTTGGAGATCATGCAAAGCCACACCTCTCCCTTCACCATATTCTATACGTGTCCTCTTCTCTTCACTTTAAATCTAATTTACTACAACAAAACCTTCAATATCATTTATATAAAGGTTCTGTATACAGCAAACAATCTCTTATATCCCTTTCTCTTTGTTTTTGTTTAGACTTTGCTTTTTAGTAGTTTAAAATCATATCAATCGCTATGGCGAATGTGGACAGGCGTGTGCATGTCGACCGTACTGACAAAGGACTTCATCTTCAGCCGCAGTACGAAGATCGTGTCGGTTATAGTTATGGTGCTGGGGCTGATTACAAGAGTCGAGGCCCTTCCACTAACCAAGTATTTTTATGTTCTTCTTTAGTTTTTCTTTTCTTTTTCTTTCTTATGATCATTCACTCAAAACTATAAGAATATTTTCTGCAAATTATAAATTACTGAATAAGATATAAGAAAAATCATGAGTTCGAACTATAATAGAGAACGTAAAATCTAGTGGTCCATATACAAAATATGCAAAAATGTAATATAATTAAAAATCAGAGTTTGCACGACAGCACCACTTGCAGTTGCATGTGTCTGCATGCATGTATATACACGATCATATCCAGGCCATTGAATGGATTTATAACAATTTGAATGTTGATATTAGGGTCTAAATCATGCAGGTCGTGTCACTTATAGTAGGAGTTCCAATTGGTGGCTCATTGCTAGCCTTAGCTGGACTCACTCTAGCCGGTTCGGTAATAGGTTTCATGATCTCCATTCCACTCTTCCTCCTCTTCAGTCCCGTAATTGTCCCAGCCGCGCTCACCATCGGGCTAGCTGTAACCGGCATTCTGGCGTCAGGGTTATTTGGTCTGACGGGTCTTAGCTCGGTCTCATGGGTCTTAAACTACATCCGTGGGAGGAGTGATACGGTACCGGAGCAATTGGACTATGCTAAGAGGCGTATGGCTGATGCAGTAGGCTACGCTGGTCAGAAGGGAAAAGAGATGGGGCAGTATGTGCAGGATAAGGCTCATGAAGCCCACGATACTAGTCTGACCACCGAGACCAATGGTAAGGCAAGGAGGAGCCATATAGGGTAAGGATGGAGGGGCCACCCTCTATATAACTGTGGGCTTTTGTTGGTAAGGAATTATGTAATTTTTACTTTTGTGTTCCATTTTTTTTTCCTTTTTAGTATATTTTGCCAATGTGTAAGATCGTTTTGTCGTGTCCAAATAAAATATTTTGTGGGTGAAAAAAAGAAAAGAACTATTGCCTTTTTTTTTGGCCCAAAAATAAAAAAACTGTTGCCATTTTTTTGGGATAATCAGGTATTCCGTAGCAAAAAAACTAGCTGGAACTTTTTTTTTGAGAAAGAAACTAGCTGGAACTTCTTACACATGAATTTTTGTTTCCTAAATAACTGTAAAATTGATTCTTGAAACCACTTGCGTCATACATCCTACCAAACTTGTTGTTCTTCGGACATATATCCTTTGACGCTATCTAGAAGTTCATCAATAGTCCGGACCATATTTATGACTTCATCAGCTTGTACATGTCTTGTTATAAATTTCATTGATGACTTCATGGACATTTATCCACCAACGTTTATAAAAGTGATGCATCACATTTGCCTAGCCTTCAGAGACCATTTGTATATTGTGAATCACCTTAAACTTGCTGACATGGTAATCCCTTGAGTCCTTTTAAAATAGTCCTTATGGTCGCACTATTGTATTGGTTAGAGATATGTTTTATGGGCTAATAATAGAATATTACTTTGGCCCAAAGCTGCAAAGGTCTTTCTTATCAACGCAATCGTAAGCATAGCCAATGGGAAATAAGAGAAGCCACATGACTGTATTGGAACACTATCCTCTTGGCACAAGATCTTCCACATCCACGTGGCACAACGATAGCCTCTAGCTATCTACTGCACCACGTGAATCAAGTTTGTGGAAATCTAAAACCAACCAATTAGAACTCGCTTACATATCCATCTTCTGATCTCTCTCAAAATGACCACCTTGGAATCTCTATTATAAAATCAAAACTACAGAACACCATCTCATCTCATCTCATCTTTGCTTATTTCTCTCTTCACTTGTGTTTCTGTTTGGAGTTAAGATAAACAACAATGGCCACATCAGCAATCCAACACTCCTCTTTCGCCGGCCAAACAGCCCTGAAGCCCTCCAACGATCTCCTCCGCAAAGTCGGAGCTTCCAACGGAGGTGGCCGTGTCGTCATGCGCCGTACCGTCAAGTCTACTCCACAAAGCATCTGGTTCCTACTCTAACCTCATTTTTTTTTAATTTTAATTAATCAGCAACACATGATATCTTACACAAAAGAAACATTTTGTGACAGGTACGGACCAGACCGTCCCAAGTACTTAGGACCATTCTCAGAGAACACACCATCATACCTTACCGGTGAATACCCCGGAGATTACGGTTGGGACACAGCTGGTCTCTCCGCCGACCCAGAAACCTTCGCAAAGAACCGTGAGCTTGAAGTAATCCACAGCAGATGGGCAATGCTAGGCGCTTTAGGTTGCACATTCCCAGAGATTCTCTCCAAAAACGGAGTTAAATTCGGTGAAGCCGTGTGGTTCAAGGCAGGGTCTCAAATCTTCTCAGAAGGAGGGCTTGATTACCTTGGAAACCCTAACTTGATCCACGCGCAAAGCATCTTAGCTATCTGGGCTACTCAAGTTGTGCTGATGGGGTTAATCGAAGGGTACAGAATCGGAGGTGGACCTCTTGGTGAAGGGCTTGACCCGCTTTACCCCGGTGGAGCGTTTGACCCGTTGAACTTAGCTGAGGATCCAGAGGCCTTTTCGGAGTTGAAAGTGAAGGAGCTAAAGAATGGTCGGCTTGCTATGTTCTCCATGTTTGGTTTCTTTGTCCAAGCCATTGTCACTGGTAAAGGACCCATCGAGAATCTGTTCGACCATGTTGCTGACCCTGTGGCTAACAATGCCTGGGCTTACGCTACCAACTTCGTGCCCGGAAAATAGAATATTATCAGATAATGTATGTTCTTAAAACTATTAATGTATGGAAATGCCTGTTGGTTTGATGGTTGTGTCTTAATGAAACATCGTCCGTTTGAGGCACTTGTCTTCTGTTGATCTAGAAAATTTGTGAACGGCATATATATCGAATTTTTAATCTCATCTCTCTACAGCTGTTGTTTAATGAAAATGTTAAAACTAGAACAAAACATATGGTTCTAGGATTCCGAACCTATGCTATAAAACCTACCAAAAAAAACATTGCATAAACTTCAAAAATGCGTGCCGTTTTGTAGATTCCACACCACTTTTTGACTTGAACAAAGCAAGTCTCCAAGTCCAACTATATATGTACAACACAAGTCCAGATTGTCATAGAAGCTAATAACAGAGGAAAGATCTGCTGATACAAAGACCCAACCACTGTTCTTGGAAGGTCAGATGTAACAATAGTACAATACAATTCTACTATCCAGAAAAAGGGAGAAAGAAAACTATAGATATATCTTTTGCTACCAAAATATTAATGTCTCACGTATTGGCTAAAGATCACTATACCAGATCCAACAAATAAAGATTGTTTCCGAAACAAAGGGTTACCTCAGTGAAGAATACTCTTCCCCAACTTAACCATTCAGCTGTTCTTTATCAGTTTCTGACGCTGCAACTGCTTCAGAAGCTCCCTCGATGGACTCGGTAATACTTTTATTATTGCCATTGTCGCTTTCTTTAGCCTCTCGTTCATCCAAAGTATCGTCGTCTCCAGAGACATTTGTGCTCTCTGGTTCTTCCGTAGAAGAGGCTTTGACTTCATCTGGTGGTTTTGGGTCATTAGAAACGGAAGAAGCGGGCTTGTTTTTGCTGCTGAGGTGGTCACGAGGAACAGAGGGATTATTCTTGTCACTGCTACTATTATTCTCTTTCTTGATTTGACGTGTTACCCACACGAACTGTAACGTGTGTTCTTGCCAAGACTTTGCATTAGCAAACGCTTTCTCTGCTGCGCTGCGTTTCACAAATGTCACACAAGCTGCACGGCTTTTGTTATGAGTTTCACTTTCCTGATCCTTGCCACTATCAGTCGATGCATTGTCTTCGAGTTCCACTTTTGAGACTTCGCCATAAGAAGAGAAATGTTCCTTCAAGACAGCAACCTAGAAGCAAAAAAAAAAGGTTCAAACCATCAGTAAGTGATTCGATAAAATCAAGGTAGAATCTAACAGTATCCAATATGGAAAATGAGAAAGTCCTTAACAAGGGGACATACATCGGCTAGCCCCGTTGGTAAAGGAGGGACAACTTTGATGGTAGTCGTACGGTTATCCAGCTTATACCTATTTACCACAGGAGTGTTCAGACTTGTGGTAAAAGAGTACGGTCTTTGCTTTAGATTTTTTGAATCGGGCGATGGTGTTTGTGTGCTTAGTTTAGCAGTAGAAAGTGGTTTCTTGTTAAGAATTTTCTTATCAGTCGATGACTCTGTTTTTGGTGATGGGATTGCAGCACCGGAGTTAGAGGTTGTCTCCACTTTAACTCGCTTAGCATCTGGCTCATCTGCTTCCTCGTCCTTAACACCCGTGTCCTGAAAAGATTTAGAGCAATATGATATGAATGTCGTCCGAGTAAATCATTTCAACTCCATTCTACGAGACTGTTGAATAAGAGAGGGTCAGCAATTATGTTTCTAGTGTACAGATTACAATTCATTAACTTATTCGCTGAAACAAACTCGATTTATCATACTGAGAACTCAGATTTGCACTTGTCTAGCATTTTACATTTCTTCAGTTTCCTAAAAAACACCTCTGAGATTCAAATCCCTAGCACTCATACCTCTACCTCTGCTTAGCTTCCTAGTGACAGCTAAATTGTACTTTCCTTCAAAACGGTATTGTTGAGATTGCAAAAAATGAAAAGGTATCTAGTTACTTGTACTTACTTGCTTTTGAAGTGTCGCCAACTTTTTGCATAACTCATTACGCTTCTGCTCCAGCATTTCCTGCTTTTTCTTCAACTGCTCGAGAGTGTCTGCTTTTTTCTGCTGAAGTGGCGTAACCTTGGGACCACTTGTGACCCCCACAGGCTTAGCCTGTTCAGATGATGATGGATGGAAGGGAGTCCCCTTCGCAGTAGGAGATACATGGTTGCCTTTCGATGCTGCAGCAATAGGAATTTTGTTCTGCCCTCCAGAAGCAGCCACACCACGACCCTTCACAAAAGCACCATTGCCAGTGGAGAGGCCATTATCAGGTATATTATCTCTATTTGCCCACCAAAGTTTGATAAAGCGGTTACCCATTACAGCATCAGGCGCCCTGAGAGCGGACTCAGCCTCTTCCCGTTTTGAGAATTGAACAAATGCTCGGTTACTATTTACTGGAATGTGAATGTCAATAACTTTCCCAAATTTCTGAAAATGGGCAAGAATGAGATCCCTTCTGTTGCTCTCGTGGGGAACATTATTCACAAACAGAGTCCGCATTGCCTTTTGCATTGGTGTTCTTGTATTATTCACTGCATCATTTAAAGTGTTTGATGAGTCACCAACTTTTGCGACACTTTCGCCAACATTGTTTTGTTTCATGTGGCGGGCTAAATTAACTGAGACCTCCTTCGATTGACCTTCAAGACCAGCTGATGAGTTTAACACATCATCACCTTTCTGTTTGAAATTTGTTTGACTATTACGCACTCTGCCCCACGCATTTACAGGGCCATCTTTATTATTGTCATCCACTGGAGCGACATTCTCATCCACCCCATGAGAATTTAGTGCAGATAATCCCCCTGAAGTTTCACCCGCACTGTTATTCCACAAAGGTTGATCAGGATCGTAAAAATCAGTTGCACCTGCACTAGGATATGCATCACCATAACCCATACCATCAACAGCCATTCCACCCTCATTAGTCTTCCCATGAGCTCCTTTCGTATTCACGAAATTACCACCCCCGAACTGTGCAGGCACTGGTTTGGAAGAAGCTGCCATATGAGGTGCACCAGGGACAGAAACGGGAAGGTTGAACTGTGATAGACTCTGAACAAATGCAAAATGAAGGAAAATTACTCAGTTAAGTATACAGAAGAGAAAGAGCAGTGTAATAAAAATGGCAGTAGTGAGAAAGTAACGGCTGTTTATGAGACCCATGCCAACTAAAGCTAACACTAAAAACAGTAAAGACTAAAGAGTTCTATTCCAAGTCACCTAGAAGTACTGCTTATGGGCATAAAGTGGTCATACTACTAGCAACATATTCAAGAAACATAAATGCGTTGAACTTCAGTTTAGGACCACGCAAATAGATCTCAAATATTCAGCAAAACCTCTAGCTTACATTGTGTTTCCCTAGATAAATCTGATCTCTAGAAAAGTTAATTTAAGAAATATATACCTGAACATCGTCAACAATGATACGGTTGATTCCATGCTCCATGGGACACATGTCTCCTCTGAGACAGAACCCACGTTCCTCAAAATCTCTACATCTCTGCCGAGGAATACCCATGTTGAGTGGACCTTGTAAGTGATGAAAACCATCCAAGCCACCATTTGGAACTCCAGGAACCATTCCAAAACCAGGCCACGGTGCGGTCTGAGCAGCAGCTAGTCCCCTCCCTCCAAACATCCCCGGAACCATATGCGACGAAAGATCAAACCTCGAATCACGCTGACTCCAAGAACCATAACTCCCTCTACCTCTCCCAGCCTCCCTCGAAAACACCGTGTTGTTCGACCTTGATCTTTGATTATGTGCTGCTGACCGCTTCTCATGCTCATTACCATTCTCAAAACTCCGTCTATAGTTTTTCCTGTTGGGCCGTGAGAAGGCCGCCTGATCTGAAGAAGAGCCTTGTTCCAAGGCCTGAGGAGAAGTCGTCGTCTCTTCTTTCCTACGGTGCTTGTGGTTACGATCATCATCTTCCTCCTCGCTGATCTCGTGCTCCTCCTCTGGTTCACTCATACAATCTGATGAAGATAACAACACACTCTGCTTCGGAGACGAAACAGATATCTCCATGGATAATGCAGAGAGCTTCTCCTCTCTCTTATACAAAGCTCTGATACAAAAGTTTTGGTGTTCATCAGATTATTAGTAATAACCGTCTCTTAACGTTTAACTAAAAAACTAAGAACCAGTCTTATTTAAGAGCTGGTGTCAAAAGTTAAAAAGTTAAGAGACCGTTTCTTATATTCTGTTAAACCATGATTAACTCGGGTTCTTAAGGCGAGGTTTTAAGAAACTGTTTCTTAACTTTTAACTAAAAACGCTAAAAACCGGTTTTTAAAATCCTTATAAGAACCGGTTCTTAACGTTTTTAGTTAAAAGTTAAGAAACAGTTTCTTAGTTTCCGCTAAGAACCCCGAGCTCATGCTCTTAAGAACTCTATCCTAAAAACCTCCCATTAATCATGCTCTAATATGTACAAATCAAAGATTCCAATCTCATAAACCCTAACTAATTAAGCAAACTCCATTCTAGTAACGACACGTAGCGTGAACGAGCTTCTGAAACTAAAGTTAAACAAAAGAATCTTTAGGAAAGGGGAAAAGGGAATCTTACAGATTCTTTATGAATAGATTAAGAGATGAATCTGTTGCTCTTCTTCACAGGGGAGATAATCTGACCTATAATCAGAATTCAGAAGCAATGGAGGGGCATCTTGGGGGAGAAATTGGAGGAGGGATCGGCAATGATAGAGTGAATACGAGGCGGAGATTCGAGTTTTTGAGGATTACGAGGAGGAAGCTGGGAATCACGTCGCGGATGGTGGTGACTGGTCTCGTCGTTAGGGTTTGAAGAGCTGCTGAGCGAGAGAGAGGGTAGACCGGGAAATTGGATTTGCTACTCCCAAGAGTTTTCTTGATTTACAGAACGGCCCAATATTCATGTTTATTTATGTTCGCTTATCTACAAAAGTTCAGGTTATTGATGGATAAACGACTTATTTTCCCATCATAACTATCATACTAGGTGATATTCATACTATCACACGAGTATGAATATTTATCAAGTAAATATATATATATATATATATATTGTAATATATTCTAATTTGTTAATTTACATAGATATTTAATTTTAATTATAAACTAATTTAAATTTATATGTATAACATATAGTAATAGTATTATATTATTTTAATTATACATACGATTTAGAAGATTTTATATTTAATCGGTTTGATTGTTGTTTTTTTTCAATAGTTTATTTGGTTACACTTATGTATTTTATATTGCAACTATTTTTTATTGTATTTAGATTGGTTATCGTCTTATATATGTAAATATAAATTTAGTAAGATTACGTATAACTTAATATATATTATGCTTATAAGGAAATTAAAAATAAACTGAAATTTTGACTCAATATTACATAAATGAATATAACGATAATATTCTGAAGTCTCCCGCATATATATAAATTTTACAAAAAACTTAATTATTACAGTTGATTAATAATTTATTTTTCTATATTGATATTTTTGAGTCATCTTGTAGTCTATATCTATAATTATTCTAAAATTCTATGTTCTTGTTGTAGTTAGATCTTTTATTTTTGATATAAGTTAGTTTCGTTCCGTTATTCGTTTGGTGAGTCTATTGAGTTATATATATTTTTCTAATTCAAATGAAAATATAATTATTTTTTATTCTGATTAATGCAAGTTTTTATAATATTTTAATAATTGGATATATGTTGATTTTTAAGAATTTTTAAAAAATAACGCGACGATCAATAGGAATTTACATACAAAAATATGAGTATAGAGATAAACTTTTGAAATTTCATGAGCACATATTAATATTTAAAATAATCAAATATTTATAAGTTATAAATTATTTTATGCCTTAGATTTCTTGAAAGGTAAACTGATACGTATTTTACACAATCTTAAAAATGAGAACTTAGATTTACTTGAATATTTTTATTATTTATATATTAAGTTCCATAAACATAAAAAAACAGAAAAAACATAAAATTCAAAATCAAACTAAATGTTAAAAAAGAATTTAGGAACTTAATAAAATAATAATGATAAAATATAATATTTCCATTAATAGTGTATAGTGCTATGCTATTTGAAAGGATTTTGAAATTATTTGATCAAAATATTTATTTTTGTAGAAAAAAAAAACACACATAAATAAAAAATGAAATATCTAAGAAACATAAATCTTTATACTGTATATAAACGAAATTTATTTTTTTGAAATTTTCCTAAAATAACATTTTTAGTGTTTATTTAAGAGATATTAAAAAGGAAACATAAATATTTTTTCTACACAAATAAATATTTTGATCAAATAATTTCAAAACTAAAAATAAATATTATGTGTGTTTAAAAAAGTAAAATTAAATTAAAAAAATAGGTAAAATCTTATTATGAAAAAATAAAATATATTATTAATATCAATCTTATTTAATATGATTAGTTCATTAAGGGTATCTATGTAATCAACTATCGTGAGAGTTAACGTGGGCACGACACATAATAAACTGACTTCTCAAATAATATTATAGAGATATCATAACTATCATATAGTAATAAATTTATATGAACTTTTGACCTCATTCTAATTGCACACAATTAAACTATATCAACCTATTTCTTCCTAAAAAGAAAGACTGAAACCCGATTCCCCCTAAAGTTTGAAAGATGAACTAATACCAACAAATGACGGTTTAAAATAGGTTTAGTATTCTTTATTTTCTGATTTTTTTTTTTTAGTTTTTAAGGTTTCAAAGGTGGTAAATCGATTAGAGAAAGATTAATAGAGGTTCGGGTCGAGTTATAATCAGTTCGTTTGGGACAGGTTGTACCAATGTTAATCAAAATCATTGGATTTAATATCGGTTAACGTTATAAACCATTAAAACCAAGCTCAATTTCTCGTCTGTGTAGAAACGAGTTTTGATCTTTCATTTGCGGAGAAATAGGTTGATATAGTTTAATTGTGTGTAATTAGGACGAGGTCCAAAGTTCGTGTAGATATGTTATTATACGATAGTTATGGTGTGGAAATAGATCGTTTACCCTAATATTTTTGTTAAAATGTTTTTTCTTATTATGAAGAAAAAAGGGTAGACGATTTATTTACCCATGAGAAGTATCATATAGCATCAGATCTCCACCGAACTATGACCTCATGCTAGATTTTCACAAATTGAAAATTGCAAACTTATTTCTCCGCGAATCAATACTTCAAAACTTAATTACCCACAGACAATGGTTTTAATTGGTTTATTATTAACCAAACATCTTAAAATCAAGTAAACTAAACCAAAATCCAATTAAATCTCCACATGAATCACCGTAAACATTCTTATGTAAACATTTTAATGGATTTATTTTACAAACTAAAGAAGATTATGTTTTATTTAATTGGCTTTTGGTTTGGTTTACTTGATTTTAAGATGTTTGGTTAAGAATAAACTAATTAAAACCAATTAAAATCATCGTATGTGGGTAATTAAGTTTTGAAGTATTGATTCGGGGAGAAATATGTATGCAATTTTCAATTCGTGGAGATCTAGCATAAGGTCATAGTTCGGTGGAGATCTGATGCTATATGATAGTTCTCATGGGTAAATAGATCGCCTACCCAGAAAATAATAATGTGTGTATGGGTGATTTTGTTCAATAACCAAAAACAAAAAATAATTTTTGAGAGAGAGTGGAAGAGAGAGAGATGGGAAGAGAACGGGGAATTTTTTGTTAGTTAGTTAATTATGGTCTTTTTAAAGTTATTTGGCCTAATTTCCCTTTAGAAAATCAGTATATATATTGAAAAGGATTAATAACGAAATATGACACATTTGGATGGGCTAATCTCTTAAAAGACATTCGAAAGATTTTCTTACAAAAAAAAACACTTAGAGAAAAATGAATAAAATAGATTTCATTAAAATGTTAAATGACAATTTTGACGCAAAGGCAAGGTAGTGATGATTTACTGGCGGATCTTAGAAGGAGAGAGACCTGCTTTGGTAGAAGAATGGTATATTATACTGGCGGAGTTCAACGGATTCATGGGAGCAAGAAATACGTGCTCGGCTCTTTCTCCTCTGCATTCAGATATAGAACACATGTTTGAGCGATGTAAAGTGTGTCGAATTTACGTCGAAATCGATTTTGTTTTCGTTTGGATTTGTGTTTTGTATTTGAAATTCTAACTTTGATTTCTTTATTAGGGTTCCCGAGTTTGATTGTGTTTCGAAACCCGGAGTTTGTATTTGGAAATCAGAGTTTTTAATCGATTGTTTGTAAAACGAAATCGATTTACATAGGAGTTTGGATATGTTGATACTAGTAAGGAACATAGGAGTTTGGATTTTGTTGATACTAGTAAAGTAACATAAGAGTTTCAATGCTTGTTTAGGAGTATTTGGATTTCGGATTGTTGATTTAGTAGAAGGAGATATAAAAGGTTAGCTGAGATGTGTTGAACGCGTGTATGCAGACTTCTTATTACATGTCTCGAAGTTATTAGTAATAACACCGATGATATCTCGGGTTGATATGTCCTATAGTACCGAAACGCCTACAAATCTTGGTAGTTTGGTTGGCATTCGGCCTCGGGTTCGCGATAGGCGTATGCATGAACAATTAAAAAATGATCTAACTGAGAATATTTGGATCAAATTTGGTGATGAAGAATAAAAAGTTATTGTATTTTTATATTTAATCTTGCAATAAAAAAATTAGTTTTTTTTTTTAAATATTATTTTTATATTGCTAAGAACTCCAAAACAGGGAACACCATTATACAGAGAATTTGGCTTTGAATCCTTAAGTATTCCAAAAAAAAAATTATTTTTTTATACCCTAAGGACTCCAATGGTGGTAACACCATTGGAGTTGGTCTTAGAGCATCCACAATGGTGGATTCCACTGTGGAGTCCTTAAAGAGTATTTTAGTTTTTTTTTATTGTATAGTTAAAGACTTTTAGTAAAATAAACAGTCCAATGGTGGATTATTTCTGGAAATCCTTAGGAAAAAAAGTTTTTTTTTTGTTAAACATAAAAAATTTGAAATTTTATTAATTTCATTGACCGGTTTAATAACATCTATTTAAACAATGTAAAAATTTATGTTTGTTTGCAAATGTAGCAAAACTCGACTTTAAAAGATTATAAATTTGACATGTATAAGAGATTGAGTTTGGAGTGTATGAATTTAGTCATGATCGAGTTTGGATTTAGTACACAACACTCTAAAGACTTGGTTTAAAAACAATATTAAGATGACGACATAGGTTTAAAAACAATTTGAAACAATAGAGGAACAAGAGAACAACACCAACTCTTTGCTCTATTTAGACGGACATGTACAAGTGTACATGAATCATGAGACCAACATGGAACACTCTTTGCTCAGTATTTCAGAACACTCTTTGCTTTCCGGACATACACATCAATGGAGAAGTTTTCCCATCTCCAACCACATTGAACACAAATAAGTTTCCTAGGTCGCATATGTTATCAAGACAGAACTTTCTCCAGCCGCTTCTGATGTAATACATGCCGCCTGATTCGCTAAGTCGCAAACTCACAGTCCATAAATTTCCCTCTTTGTTCACTAGTATCATCTTTTGGCATTGTTTGTTCAAAGCAGTAGAACGCGTAGCTGCCACAGAAAGATGCTGCAAACACAGAACGTAAAGACACATAACAAATTACAAGTTTGTCTTCTTGTAGATTTGAAATAGAGACACAAAACGTAAACTACTCACAAGTTTGTCTTCTTTTAGATTTGAAGCAGTGACCTCAGCCAAAAAATAATAGTCGAATGAGAAAGAAGACATTGTCTCTGTTCCTCCTGAAACATAAGAAATAATTTTCCACGTCAAAAACATCTCACAAGTTTGCTATGTGAACTTTGATTGAAATTTACTAATCTTGTGGTGATGCTCATTGTCATCGGCATCACCCGCAGCATCATCCGCGTCGGCTTCTTCCTTGATGATGTGAGGATGTGTATACTGAATCTCACAACAGCTAGGATCAAAAGGAGTGACATGTAACATCATGTCTGCTTCGTGTTTGAACATGACAAGGTCACCGATTTGAAGGTCATGTGATGTGGTGAAATCTTTCCAACCTCCGGTGAGTCTTCTGCCTTCTTGTATCACTTCCCAAGTGTTATCTAAAGCGTCCAATCTTAGTTCCCATGTTTTCTGGTTTGTCTTCCTTTCTATGTGCTTTGAGAAGAAGCCAAGTGGTATTGTCTGTAAGTCAGAAAAAACAAAGTTAAGCAAAACTCAAAATTAGGAACATATACAAAGGATAAATAGAGAAAGTGTGTCTACCACGCCACTATGGAAACCAGGAAACAGAGGCTTGAAGAAATGAGGTTCATGCGGATTCGCCATCAGCAAACAATAAACGAAAAATAAGACTTCAGTATGTTATAAAACACATATACAGATTAAAGAACTAAACACAATTAAAGTAGCTTCCAGACTCTGATCACATCTAAACAATATCAAAGACAAACATTCGATAACTGTACACAAATATAAAATATAACTTGAGTGTGTACACAACAATCACAGAACAATGTCAGTACAGAACAATCTCAGAGCACAACAGTTACAACAATTATAGAGATCAACAATATCAGTATAGAGATCAAAAATCACAGAACACAACAGTTAGAACAATCGACAAGGCTAAGCTCACATGAATAACATAGCTACAGAGGATAACACAATGCTACAGATGATCAAACATAGCTACAGAGGATAACACAATGCTAAAGAGGATTAAACAACAATCGTTTTGAAACCCTATGAACTAACTACAAGATTCTGAACTCGATTGAAAAACAAAAGATCGTTTTAGAACCCTAACTACTTTCGAGAAATCTCCAAATCGAATGAAAAACAAAAACCCTTCCCTGATATGCCAGGAAAACAACATGCATCCTCATCAAAACCCATTAATCAACAAGAGAAGGTAGAGACTTACGTTGATTATTGAATTCAATCGATGTCGAGAGATCGCCAATTCACCAGACCGATTTTTTTTTTCTCGTGATATCTCCAAACTGATACTTTTTCTTTCAACGTGCACTCCATGCGTTCCTCGGCCCAACGCCTAGACACCACATCGATACGGACTCGAACCGTAAACTGCTTATATAAGGATTACTCCTTACTATTCCTTCTTTTTTTTAAATATTTTCCACACGTGTTAACATATGTTAACGAGCTAAGGATTCGTTGTGAGATGCCATTGCGGCTGCTCTTATTCACATCTAGCGGTGATAGTTTCAGAATCAGATTAATGATCTGTTTTTACACCATATTTGAAAGAGTTTCACAGATGTGACGATCATCTATGTCCAAGGAACAAAATAAAAAGATAGACAAGTTAGTATCCAATGTTAAATGCCATGTGTTTTATGTCGTTCATATGTATTCAACGCTAACAATTTGATTTTACAAAGTTCTAGTCGAGTCTATTTAAATTGATAACAAAAATAAAATAAAAGGTTAAATGGACAAGTATATTTCTACTTAGAAATAAACATTTTTTAAAAATATATAAAATAATACTTTTTTCATACAAAGCTTACTTTGAAATTGGAAAATTAGTTTTAAAATTTTATGTTAAATTTTAAATCTTAATTATAGATATTTAAAAAAAAAGTTCTTAAACTCAACTTTTGCCTCAAAATGTAAACCTCTAGATTAATTAATTTCAGGAATATAAGTGCATTTCACTTTTTTAATAATTTAGACTGTAGTGTTATAAAGGATATCTCATATTTGGATTTATAATTTAGAGACTGTAGTTGCAATAGATATTTGTTAAAAATATTTAGTTTGTTCCTTAAACTTTGTCTATTACATAGATTTAGAAAATATCAAAGATACTCATGAGATTTTCAAAATCCCGTAGATAATATACATAACCTTTTAAAAGCTGTCTAATAAATAAAAGTATAAAAATATCCTCACAGACAGTAACTCAACATCAGATTTAGCTATATTTAACGAATTAATTATAGTTTTTTTTTTGAAATTAAAATTTGACTACTTTTATTTATTCAACTTTAAATAACAACTAGATCTTGACCCGCACAACCGTGCGGGTTTTCTTTTTATTTATAGTTTATAAAAAAAATTATCAATAAATAATAATATATTTACTTTAAAATCTCATAAAATATTAAAATAATAAATGTTAATAAGTATCATTTTTAAACACAACATGAAAATAAAAATTATCATTAACAAATATTTACCTATAGTATTTCTAGATAAATATTAAAATATATTGTATGCAAATTGCTGAAACTAAAACTATATATTAAAGAAGATTATATATTTGATTATTTCAGATTATAGTTTATGTATCAAACTCAAAAATATATTAGTAAGTAATAACAATCAATTAGAGTATAAATTTAAAATATATAAAATAAATTACTATATATTAATAATGACGACAAAAAAACTTAAACAAAATCATTATAGAGTTATATAATATATACTATTAAATGTAAATCATATATTTAAATTGTTTATAATACTATCTAAGTGTTATATTTATAAAATGAAAAATCTATGTGGGTCAAACTCTAGTATATAGTTTTTTTTTTATTTAGGTTTTAGAAATATATAGTGCTATCTTGATAAATTTTAATTTCTTAAACAAAAACATTTGTATTTCAAATACTAAAAGATAAAGATATGGGTAATGTTATGGAAATACAATTTTAAAAGATGCCAAAAAGATTTTGTTGGATTTCTTTCATTTGTATTTTAAATAGGAATATAAAGATATTTAAAGATATTATCATTAAATTATGTAACATTTAATAATCTTCATAATCTTTCTAAGGAATAGTCCATTTTAAAAAAAATCACACATGAATCAACGTTGTGACTTCTGTTTTAATATATTTGATGAATTTTATTAATATCTGTAATACTAGAATCTCAACTAGACTATTTCCTTTTCTCATTTTTGTTGTTGTTGTTAACATCACCTAAAATATTTCCTTATATTAAAATACATTATAAAAAGTCTTGGTAAAATAAGTAAAAAGGAAAATAGATTTACTCCATAAACAGTATATAAAGGCCACAATACTTACCCTAGGATTTGCGTGATCGAGTTCTTCGTTTACATTCTCTCCTTCCCTCTTGCCCGCCTCCTATATATCGTTAACTTGATTGTCACAGTTTTATAGATCGATGGATGACGATTATATGAGCTTTGAGGAAGATGAGGATGACTATGATTGCTTCGATGATGATCGTTCATATCAAGAGGATTATTACGAGGAGCCAGACCTGCAAGGCGTGTCCTCCAAAAAGCCAACGTGCCAAATCATCACGATGGAATCTCTTGTAGCGGCGCAGAAGGAAGTGTTGGTTACGGTTATGGAATACTTATCGGTCAAGGAGAGTCAAGCTAGGACACTTCTTATTCATTACCAGTGGAACGTTGATAAACTGTTTGCTGTCTATATCGACAGAGGCAAAGATAGTTTGTTCAAAAGTGCTGGTCTCACTGTCTTTGATCATCCTTCTTTGAGTAACTCGAGGCAGAATATGGCTTGTGGTATCTGCATGGAAGATGATTTACCAAGTCATGCGATGACGAGAATGGAGTGTGGTCACTTCTTTTGCAATGATTGTTGGAAAGAGCATTTTACTATCAAGATCAACGAAGGTCAGAGCAAAAGGATCGCATGTATGGCTCATAAATGCAATGCGATATGCGATGAAGATGTTGTTAGGAAGCTAGTTTGTCCGGAGATAGCTGAGAAGTTTGATCGTTTCCTCGTTGAGTCATACGTAGATGATAACAAACTGGTCAAGTGGTGTCCAAGCACACCACACTGCGGCAACGCGATAAGAAAAGTGGATGACGAAGGTGGCCAGGTTGAATGCTATTGTGGTCATCAGTTCTGTTTCACCTGTCTTAGTGAGTCGCACTCTCCTTGCTCTTGCTTAATGTGGAAGCTATGGACAAAGAAGTGTGAAGCTGAGTCTGAGAGTGTTACTTGGCTAACTATTCACACGAGGATGTGTCCCAAATGCAGCAAACCTGTTCACAAGAGTGTTGGATGTAACCTCGTGACTTGTATTTGTGGCCAGCATTTTTGTTGGTTGTGTGGTGGAGCTACTGGATTGGCACATGACTGGAACAGCATCGCGGGTCATAGTTGTGGTAAATACAAAGAAGACAAAGTGAGGCAAAAGGAGAGAGCAAAACGGGACTTAGACAGGTACGCACATTATCTTCACCAATACAAATCACACACCGATTCATCAAAGCAAGAGGACAAGCTTAGAGAGTTTGTCCGTGAGAAGGCAGCCTTGGTGACATTAAAGACTAAAGATTCAGCGTTTAAAGACATGGACTGGGCAATAAATGGAGCCGACCTGTTATTCAGATCAAGAAGAATACTTTCGTATTCTTACCCTTTCGCCTTTTACATGTTTGGTGAAGAGCTGTTTCAAGATGAGATGAGTGATGAAGATAGAGAGATAAAGAAGAATCTGTTTGAAAATCAGCAGCAGGAACTTACTGGTAATATTGAGACACTTTCCAAGTTACTAGACGTGCCTTTTGATGAGTATAGTTCTGATGAGTTAGAGAAGATGAGATGTCAGACCAGAGATATTGGTCTTGTGGTTGATAAAGTCTGCAAATTGATGTATGAGTGCATTGAGGATGACTTGTTGGGTACAGCTCAAGATGGAAGGAACCACATCATTGCACCTTACAGATCAGAGGGGATAGAGAAAGCAGTTGAGTTTTTGTGCTGATATATGTCTTATGTCTGAGCAAGATCAGAGAACTTAGATGCTCTTTGTAGAATTCAAAAGTTTAGTATTAATTTTATTTTGTAAACAATTGATGCAAGTGCACAATTCTTTTATTTTTTATTTTGGTTATTCTTCAGTTTCTTTTAATGTAATGCAGTTTTATCACTCACTGAGGAGACTATATACTCGCTAACAATGAGTTTTGTGTTGATATGCAAATGAGAAAGTCACAGAAAAGAGAAGATGCTTTTAAATCCAAGAAAAGAATCAGAAGTACCATTGGACTTACCTGCATGTGTGGAGCAGGATCCTTTCTTCTCCTCCTCTAAGTTGGTGTTGGATCTCTTTGCCATGGAGATGTCAAACGACAGCATCTCAGCAGGTGTATCAGATTTGATGCTTCGTGTTTTAGCAGAAGGACTAGTCAGTAAACCGTTTGATCTATACGGACTTGTCTCTGCGTTTCTTCCTTCTTGAGGAAAGATGGTTATATGATCCTCCATTTTTGATGTGGCGAGTATGGGAGAGTTCTTGGACCTTTTCCTTATGTAGTTGAATATTGTTTCATCTGAGAATGGTCTCTCTGTTTTCCCTTTTTTTCAAATAATGAGAGTTCATTTTTAGAGTTTAAGCAAAGGTGTATAAACAGAATACGAATGAAGATTAACTCACCGTTGCTTGCATAAACCGGGCTTGTGATTTGCTGTGCGGTTTGTTTGATGTCTTTGGTAGTTGTAGGTGAGGCAAACACAGAATCATACTGAAATAGAGGATCGAGCTCAGGAGAATCTATCACTAAGCTCTTCCTTTTCAGAGTTGATTTCTCTGATGCCAGAGATGTTGGATTCAAAGTGCTCAATGATGGATAACACTTTGCTTTTTGACGTATGTGGTCAAAGACTGTATGTTCATTGATAATGACGCAGTCGTCTTCTTCCATCGTCACATAGGACTCTTTCTCTACAAAGAATATTGGATTGCAAAAGTGTTCAATGGAACAAAGCACACAAAAATAACCTGTGACGGATTTAAAGTTGCATTGAGCATCTAACCTTCTTCTGAGTCTTCATCTATGAGCTTGAAACTAGGCCTGTAGAATAAAATAAAGAGAGTTGTATTCATTAAAGACTTATGTTATATGAATACTGGGAAGAAACCGATAATAGGATACTTTCTGAGCAAGAAAGCAAAAGATAGTGGACTCACATATCATCTTTTTGATCCTTCCGGTTTGGAGGTGCAGATTTTACTGGGGTGTTATCATCATCTACTATGCAGACATTCACCATAGGAGGATAATAATGTGGCAGCCTGTTTTCGCTTTTGTAATTTACTGTGTTGTTGCTTGCCTTCTTCAATATAAGTGATTCATGGAGATCAATACCAACTACAGATCAAAATTCCGGAAATACACACAAATTGATTAGTTATTTCATGTTTCAGTGTCTCACTCACTACTTGGTAATCAATTTTGCTACCAAACCACTTATATTATTTAGAAAACTTAACTGTACTCTTCAAAGATGAGATCAGCCTTCACAGTCACCTTAGCCTGTTGGGGCCTCTCCAGGAGTATCGTGACGCTATAGGGACTAGAGACATAAGGCAACAAAAATTCAATGAAAATGATGGATAAAAGAGTTGCATTGGGTTAATGATCAAAGAGTGACGGGCCAGGTAAGCATACCTGGAGAAGTCATCCATTCTGTTGCCATAAAAACACTGATTAGTAGCCTATACATGAATGTTTAATTAGAGGCGTGATAAATTACTGTTGATAAATTGTTTACCTTATTTTCTCATGAAAATGGATGTGATTTTCTTCCTCTGAACCAACAATCTGCAGGAAGGATGCAGATTAGTGGCTCATCTTTTATTCATGAGAAAATCACAAGACTGTGCAGAGAAGTACAGATGCAGTTACTATATCTTCAGTAAGAATATAACTGCAGAAAGTTAAGGCAACCAACCATATCAGCATAATGGCGCTTTGTGGATACGAGAGGTTGTGATAGCCGAGTCAATGTGACTGCTAGTTTAGATACCCCTTGCTTCTGACACTCAACTTCCTCAACCTTGATTTCTACTTTTGGAGGTAGAGAAGACAGAGATTCCTTGATATGATTTCCAAAAGGATATTTTCGACCGGTAACAATCTCTATCCTTCTTGGATCAGCTTCAGCAAGAGCTTCAAATGACCTGACTCCCATCGAATGAAGTGCCTAGTAAAAGAATGTATACAGACGTCACAAAAGTTACCAACACTAAATCATCTGAAAAGGCTAAGGTGCAATGAACGAGCTTATATAGAGCAGACAGAGATTAAACCTTTGCTGTAACCATTCCAATGCCAGGCAATTGTTTCAGCAAATAGGGACTGTCGTCCCAGAGCTTTTGAAAGAGTGATTTGGCAAGAAGAGTTGAGCTAATCGTTCCTTTATAGTTCTTTTTATATATAAAGTACTCTTTCATGCATCTAGCTATTCTGGATCCATTCGAGCATATCGAGTTAGCGTCCTGAGACAAAAGATCCAACTTTCAGATACAGCTGTAACAAGCAAGGGTGATAAAGGCATTAGACGGAGCCATGAATACAATCTCGGTGGACCTGAGTCATGGATAAATCATGGACTGAAGGATCCCCAGTCAACCAATCATTTGCAAGCACAAAGAGTTTCTCTTCTCTGGTTTGGATGCGTTTTTTCCTCTTTCCTTTATTATCATTGATGTGGAATCTGAGCCGCCCTTCTTTATCTGCATTTACATCATTTAAGGTCTTCTTCTCGTTTCGTCTGAGCTGTATCCCTTTATTTTTCCAGATAAAAAACAGTTTAGTGTATTCATCACGTAAAAAGCGGTATGTACCAAATCAAATTTGACATACAAGATATCTCTTCAGCACGGCATACAATATGAAGAGCCTCGTCCAAGCTATATCCCGTTGGCGCATGAATAATGTATTTCATTGTGTCAAACTTTAGATAATACTTTGTCATCAGTCTTCCGGGCTCTACACAAACCAACGAGAGACAATTAAATTTGAAATTGAAAAATATGCAATCATAAATCTCAATACCTTCTGGTTTCAAAACAAAACCGTCTATGTCAGTCCATATCATCTGATAGCTTGACAGCTCATTGATCTTCTGAAGGCAAAGCTCTAGTAGAACCTAGAACAAATGAGTACTTCAAAAGGAAAAAGAATGAATAATCTAACAAAGTCACTAGGGTACCTTGCAAATGCTTCTCTACTCGATCTTTAGGAATTCCTTTCTTAATAGCATAATTCTCAGGATTCTGTACAAACGAACTTCGAAGTTAGTTATACCATATATGATCTTAAAAAGGTTACCGGACAATTTACTGAGATAGCATGTGAACCTGCCTTTTTCATTCTGACATACAAGTATGAGCACTTCATCCACTCAATTGCCCGTGTAACGTCAGAGACAGTAAGTTGAACTATTTCTGCAGTTAGGTGCTCTATTAAGCATGGCAGCAATCTGAAACAAATTTAAGAGGAGACATTTTCTTTAAGTCAACAAATAGGTTCTGAAGAATGTTTAAAAGCAAAGGGTTCCAAAGACCCAGAAGTTTATTGGCCAATACGTACTGTGATTCAACAACCTCGCATCCATTCAAGAGATTCTCATACAGATGGACCTGTAATCGATTAATATATCACATCCAGAAGACATATTATAAACGCAAAATTAAAGTAAGAGATTCAGGGACAGAGAAAAGTTGCAGTATCTAACCGTCTCTCTTCTAGTCATAATAACAACCATTCCCGTGTCATCAAATGGAGGCCGACCAGCCCTGCCACACATCTAGAAAAGAGAGATTACTTCTCCTGCTAGCAATATAATTTAGAGCATATCCCTGTGCAGATAATCAGATGACAAAATAACATCTAGACAATTACACATGCTTGAATAGCATACCTGTAATAGTGTGGAACGATCATATTCCATGTAGTGACCTTTTTCCTTGTTGCTGAAAAGGACAAAATGTTAGTGGGAACTAACTTAAATCCCGGATTAATTTTTAAGGAATAGTCTACGCAAAGACGTACAAATGTTGAGTTGATTTGATGACGACTGTATGTGCAGGCAGGTTGATTCCATGAGCAAGAGTGTTGGTCGTGCAAAGAACTTGGATATCTCCACTAAGGAAGAGCCCTTCTACGAGGCTGCGGTCTTTTTGGCAAAGACCACCGTTGTGATAACCAACTAATTGAGGCATTCCGGTGGTAATCAGCTTGCAGAACAATGTTGAACCATATGTAAGATCAGCAAGCTTGAAAAGATGAAACAGTCCGTACCGCCTTGGAGAATATAAGACTGCATTTGTTTGTCACTGCACATTGGCGAAGCCTCCCTTAATCGTTCCAGCTGTTCTCTGCTTTTAATAAATGGATTTGAGTAGCCATAGGTCATTGCAGTTTGCGCAAGCTTTTGGGCAGCTTCTTGAGCGCCTTTTCTTGTCGAGCAGAAAACTAAGGCAGATTTTCCTTTTGAGTATTGCATTAAAATGTCTGCAAATTCATAGATTTTCTCAAGAGAGTCTCGTAAGTTACAACCTACGAAAGAGAGTCTCATGAACGTAGAAACTTACCCCATATATAGTTTTGGAGGCGCTGGATATAAGAAAATGAAAGAAAGGAAACAAGACTTGACTAAGTTTCTGTATTCACTGAAGAGACAAGAGGGGCAAAGACTAACGAAAATAAAGATGAAGAAATGTATACCTTTTCAAAGAGGAAGTCATTCTTGGCAGCAGCATATCCTGTACAAAAACATTTACTTCATGAATACAGAAAAGTCAAGCAGCTAACCAAATTCATCAAACCGAGCATCTAAGCATTTAACCCAAAAAAATGGCAAACTATTGAGTTATGAGATGTGGCAGGTACCGAAAACTTTAGTTGTCAACTTAACAGGTCTCATTTCTTCGCCAAACCTATACAACATGCGAAGGGAAAGACTGAAGAAATTAAAACATTATACGACACAAGGGCATATTTCTACGAAAAGCAATCCATAGATTACCTCTTAATTCCTGCAGTAGGAACCTTGAGCCATTCCGCTGCAGTAAATGAACAACCATTTACCACTTTAGCTTCTTGAAGCAAGTTAACAAAGCGAAGAAAAATAGTCAGAACTGTGAGCTACATTTTACCTAGATCCTCAATGTTTGGAATTGTAGCTGAAACAGCCAGAAGACGCACGGAGGCTAAAGTACTTAGCCTTAGTTCATGATTGCTAGAAAGAATCTTTATTCTACTGACAATTGCCTCGAGAGCAGCTCCTCGTGGATCATTCAGCAGGTGAACTTCATCAATGAGCACAAGTGCTATATCACCGAAAAAACCTAAGCCTCCACTAGTAACGCGATAACGACTCACTGCATCAAATTTCTGCGGGATACAAAATGTAAAATGTCAATGGAGGTAATCAGAAACATTAATCAAGGTCCAGAGTAGTAAATACAGACAAGAAAGAGAAGTTCATATCTGACCTCAGGTGTGGTCAAGATAATATCTGCGTCGTGTATATTCTTTGAGCTATAGGTTTCGTTATCACCAGTCAGCTCCAAACAACTGATCCCCCATGAATTAAACTTCTGATTCCAATCACGCAGCTTCTCCTGTACTAAAGCCTTGGACGGAGATATGTAAACCTCGACACACAAAAGGTAGCAGAACTCCAATTATTAGTCCACAAACATTCAGAAAAAAAAACTAATAATGCACAAAAAATCTCACTGTTTTAAGAGCTCCTTTAGCATGGAGAAACCTTCCATCACTAGAGATAGACTTATTCAGCAGCCTCAAGATGCACAGCTCAAAAAGAACGGTTTTACCACTCCCCGTGGGAGCTGAGATAACCATGTTGATATCTGAGTGGAAGCAAAGTGGAAAACACTCGCTCTGCAGCGAGTTGAAGTATCTGAACACAAATAATTATCACCACAAAGATTCAACAAACAGAGTTTAGATAATCATCATCATCATCATCATCATCATCATCATCATCATCATCATCGTGTTCCTAAAAGTTCAACATTCCTTTGAATCTAATTACCTGAAACTAAAAGCTGATCGGAAATTCGGAGGCAAATCTGAAACGGATTTGAGCGTGTGTGTATCCATGACGATCCTGCAGATTTTTTCAACGAGTATTATCATCATATCTAGATAAGATCGATTACTTCGTAAACACTAACATTACTATTCCATCATCATCCACAGATTCAAATCGAAAAAATATTTTCAGATCCTAATGCGATAACCGATTGCGCGCTAATCGCTCGCCGGAACTCAAAACTTAGAAACAGATTACGGTTGCGAAATCTCAGAGGATACCGATCACGAATCGAGGAAATGCAACTGAGAAAGGAATAGAGAATCAATCGAAATCTCACCTTAAAGCATGTGCGAGAGTAGAGTTGAAGAGCAACGATCTGAGAGAGATGAAGAAAGCTAGAGAGAGAGAGAATTCAAATTCAGTGGGAGTCAAAGTTTGTTTTGACCCTTGTGTTAGGCGGCAAGCTCTGTATACGACGTCGTGTTGCCGTTAAAAAGCTTTTGGACGTAATCAGAAAAACTAAAAGAACTTATAGGAGCATCTGACATTTATTCACAAATATTGGGGTTAATTTGTAAATAAGTTATTATAAAGGGGCAAGTTTGATATATGTTTTGTTTACTCTGAAACTACTGCAAGTGATGTATTTACTTTCTGTTACTATCCTCTTAACTTTTTTCATGGCTAAGATTATTGTTTTTGAGTGTTGTTATTGTTGAAATCGAGCCGTTAGATCTTATGTTAGTTCTAAGCGAAATATGTTGCCGATGTAAAACTTTTGGTCAGATTGATAAGGCTTTGACCAAACTGGTTCAACAGAGGAAGACTAGTACAATCCATTCACTTGCAAGCTGATGAAGCCTTTGGTCGACACAAGACTTCTTGACATTGACCAATTGGATGAGGTAACAACCTCTGGTTGAAACAGAAGATCAGAGCTAATGCATTGCATAAGAGAATCCATGATACCGAACTGGATCAGCAGATACAAAGCTTTATCCATCAACAAAAACATTTGGGGGATGGTTTGAGAAAACTGTGGTGATCATATTCATATGTTCTGAGGTTTTTTTTAGACATAAGGGTATAATAAAACTTATGTTTACATTTCAACTTGAAACCCTTTAAAATGAAATGAGGATTGATTCTTACGACGCAAAACTCTTCAGTTTGTATTTGATTCTGACGAATAGTGCATAGAGGCCATAAGAAGGTAGATGCAGGAGTGCTACCAACAAATACCTGCAGTTGCATAGAATTAAAAATTACTAAAGTGAATGAAGCGTTTTATTATAACCAAATGTTTTCCATCTTCTTCTCTAGGTAACCAAACATATGCTGATTGGTCTAGAATGCAAATGTATTGAAGGCTTACCACACTGGAGCCATAGGAAGTGACAGGTCGAGAAATGGATATGGCCACCTACATCAGTTGAGGAATAGAAAGGTAAGACAGATCAAAAACAAAGTGTAAGATGCATCATACAAGATCACAAGGAAGAGTTATTACCCAACGGAGACAAAAAGATGGAGAATCCATTGGAAAATAACGAAAATTCCAGTCCACAAGATGAAGTAAGAGAACCTGAACAAGGGAAACCTCTGCAGAGTAACACCCATAACGAAAATCTCAGATTGATAATTTAATGTAAAGAAAACGCTTGGTAACATCTTAAAAGCAGTAGAGTTTTTACCAGACGGTTGAGAATTGTGTCACAAAGCAGCAAAAAGAGGTTGCTCGTATGCAAATTCACAGTCATCTGAAAACACAATTTGCAGTAGAGACTGAGTTTTCAAGAGTGACGAAGTTGATTCAAATAAGTTTCACGCAAGTATACAGCAACAGAGTACAGATCTTATGTAGAAAGTGGTGGGAAACTTACGAAACCCATCTCATAGTCTTGTAAAGACAAAAACGGGAAGATCACTGTCCAGTAGATACTGTCTGTAAGCACAGCTGCTCCAGCACTCATCTGTTTTTCCCACAAACCCAAAACCAAAACAAACGTCAGTGATAATCACAGGTAATAATAACACAATGCTATTACAAAACTGTAAACACCCAAAGGATTCTGTGTCAAACCTGAAATATAATCTGGAAGAGATGAACAGAAGACCGTAGTGTCTTCGAATCAGAAGATTTACTCTTCTCGAGCAAAACCTTCTTCTCCCCATTAAGAGGCAAACGTAATCCACTCTCTGCATCATTTCCTACTTGATCAGCCGTTATGCCCAGTTGCTTCTTGTGTTGAAAACACCCGTAAACTGAAAGCAGTGAACCCATCTACAGAAAACACTCATCATCACTATCCAATTACAAAAAAAAACATCATATTCACAACACGGAGATCAAAGTATACCCCAAAGTAGATTGCTATCAACGTGTACGTCCACCTGTCAAACAACCAACACAATAAGATACCACATCGAAAACAGAAACAAACATCATCTCATAAAATCTAAAATCCTTTAACAAGACAGAAACCTACTTAGTCTCTTAGATCATCATTGATCTTATAGCAAAGTTTTTCTCCGCAGAGCTCTTAGAGAGAGACTTTAGAGAAATAAACTAGCAACCTTGATTTCTTTTTTGGTTTAGATTTGATAATCAAACTCGCCTACCCGATTTACTTATAAATAAACGAGATTTCCGACCTATTTTGTTCTTAAAAACTCATTAAACACTTGATCACATTACATTTTCTAACATTTCTCACACAATAAAGGAAAGATAGATCTTACTGAGTGTGCAATAATAGTAGATACCACATCAAACCCGAAACAAACATCATCTCATAAAAACCTCAATCCTTTTCACGAATACCTTCTTTACCAAGACAAAAACCTACTTAACAAGTAACAACACATAAACCAAGCGTCTCAAAGCGTCACTGAACTTAAGAAAAAAAAAAGCCTAAAGTGAATATTTTTTCACACAGTAAACAAGATCTTACTGACTGTATTAATAGTAGATACCACATCAAACCCAAAACAAACATCATCTCATAAAAATCTCAAATCCTTTTCACGAATACCTTCTTGAACAAGACAGAAACCATCTTAACAAGTAACAACACATAAACCAAGCGTCTCAAAGCGTCACTGAACTTAAGAAAAAAAAAAGCCTAAAGTGAATATTTTTTTCACACAGTAAACAAGATCTTACTGCTGTAATAATAGTAGATACCACATCAAACCCAAAACAAACATCATCTCATAAAAACCTCAATCCTTTTCACGAATACCTTCTTTACCAAGACAAAAACCTACTTAACAAGTAACAACACATAAACCAAGCGTCTCAAAGCATCACTTAACTTAAAAAAAAAAAAGCCTAAAGTGAATATTTTTTCACACAGTAAACAAGATCTTACTGACTGCAATAATAGTAGTAAATACCACATCAAACCCGAAACCAACATCATCTCATAAAAATCTCAAATCCTTTTCACGAATACCTTCTTTAACAAGACAGAAACCTAATTAACAACACATAAACTAAGCGTCTCAAAGCATCACTCAACTTAAAAAAAAGCTTAAAGTGAATATATTTTCACCACAGTAAACAAGATCTTACTGAGTGTAATAGTAGTAGATACGCCACCCACGAAGAGCTAACCGAACAATGTTGGTCGCTAGAAGAAAACACAAAGCAACAACCCGGAGACCAAGTAACCAACCCGGATGTATCATTTCAAAACAAGGTCTCCAACCATCATCAACGCACAGAGCATCATCATCATCATCACCATCTTCACTACCACGCTGAGTCTCAACTGAACTATCTTCGTACTTCCATATAACGAACAAAGCAACAACCATCGGAGACAACACCCACACCGCACATAGCAACACTCTCCAATTAAACCAGTAATCCAAACTCGCTATCTCCGGGTTCATTCTCGAGTGTTTCGGATCTTCGGATCCGAAAAACCCAATCGATTTCACCTGTAACGGAATTTACAATTTTCAAAGAGTTAAAATAAAAATCCGATTCGAGAATTTTGATTATTACTTACGTAATGTTAAAAGAAGTTTTCGTTTCTACAGTGTTCGATGGAAGGAGAAGTCAAAATGAAACTTTGAAGCTAATGCGATTCGATGGCGGTGAGAGACACAAGAAGTCGGAGAGAACTGAACAGAGTGGAGAGTGTGACAGGTGGGGGGACCCGACCTCCTGATATTTTTTATTCAACACGTGATGAAAACGTCGTCGTTTCGGTTCTTGTGTATTTCTTAAAATGGGAAAAAAATCTACGGGGCTTATCGACCGACTCCTATATATTCATATATACTGTAGTTTTCTAGATGTGTGTATGTGCATTTAAATATATTTTTTTTTTCTATTCATGTAAATGTATTCTTCTATATTTGTATAGATTCTCTTCTTTACTCATAGTTTTCTTGTTATGTACATGCACTTAAATATCTTTTTTTCTCTTTATATATATATTCTTCTATATTTCCATAGATTTTCTTCTTTCTTTTTTCAACACAAAAACAATCATATATTTGGTTATATTTGCATAAATTTTGCAAATATATTTTCATATATTTTCTTAGAAATTCATCTAAATAAAGATTTCTTTCTTTATTTAGGTGAAAGATTTTTCTTGATATAAAAAAAAGAAAAGAAAAGAAATAAAAGCATTGATTAAACCGAAATATATATTACATGTCCATTTATTACATTAAAAGCACCAAGTTTGATTTCATATAACATAATTATATATAGATAGATATAGATAAGTTCAAGTTTCGCTAGATTAAGTTGCAGCGTCTAAAGACGTCCACGAGCAATCATATCCAGCAAAGCAATCTCGTTCTTCATAACTTCATCGCATCCATGCATCACCATCCAACTATCTGTCATTGGTTCTTCAACATCCATGGTTACACCACTTATGGACCCAGATGTAAAACCTGAAGTAGATGTTGACGACCCTGACGCACAAGTTGCAGACTTCTCTAAATCCAACTTCATCAAACCATTAACGATGTACTTACATTCACTCTCATTGTTCTGCTTGTTGTCGTCTGAAGCATCAACAATTATATTTTTACCTTTACATCCCATGTTTCTTCGATCAACGTTTGTGTTTGAGTTAGAGGTTGCAGTCATGATAGTATCATGGTTGTAGGTAAGAGTTTTAATATAGTTTTGAAGAGTGTTGCTTCCTTGTGCAAGGGAAACTTCATCTCTTCCCTTAGTCCTCCTCGAGTATTGTTTGCGCTTAGTCGCGTTCCAGTGGTTCTTGATTGTATTTTCAGTGCGTCCAGGGAGTTTTCGAGCAATTTCAGCCCATTTGTTCCCAATCTCTTTGTGAGCTTCAATTAGTATCATATCTTCTGCTTCACTCCAACCATCTTTCTGTAATATATTATAAAATATTTTATTATTTTTTTGCGATGTTTATTATGTTATTATGAAAGAATCCAACTAAAATGAATGTTTACCTGTTGTTAACTATTGTCCACAACAAAAAGACAAATTGCATTAAATAAAGTTATATGTATATACAAACAAAAATTTAAAGTATTCATGCATGAATAAAAACCGTTTACATATTGACAAATGTAAAACATATGATCAGTTCTTGTAGATCTTTGCAATGTATCACTTATAAAATCTGAACAATCCGAGCATAATGTTTTTGTGAGAAATGTAATTGTATATCAATTTTGAAGTATATAACACACATTCAAACATATAATTAGCTTATAACTATCATGCAACGATTTCATGTTTATATGTGAATGTATGTAATGCACACCATTATGTATATATGACTAGATTTTATTTTGTATAACTAGTGTATAATAAATTAAAAAGAACATATATTCATCTATATGTTTATATATGCATAAATGCATTTTTATAAAAAAATTGATTTAAATGATATAACGAACACATCAAACTGTGTGATGGACAATAAATTAGACACAAATAATATATGTAAATGTATACTCATTTTACAGTAACACACAGAGACAACCATATATCCATATAATATACTACATAATTCATGTATGGACATACATATTAAAGTCTTGAAAAAAATAACTAACCTTGATATCAGGACGAAGATGGTTATGCCACCTTTCTCTGCATTGTTTTCCAACACGCCCGTGAAGCATCTTAGCGATCTGAGACCACCTTTTAGTTCCATAAAGTCCAACTAATTGTACCAGCAACCTAAATTTAGATAAAATCAACAAAATAATAAGCATACCTTATAAGAAAAAAAATATTTATGAGAATTTCAAAAAATATTGAATTTACCTATCTTCATCGGAAGTCCATTGGCCTTTAATTATACTAGATTTTCTCGTCGGTTTACATCCTCTCCCTGTCTGCAATCTCTTGTTCTTCTTGATATGATCGATTTTGATCACTTCTTCATTGTTTTGACGTCGATTCATGATGGCAGGTTCGTTTGCGCGCAATATGTCCATTGGCTTAGGCACATCATATAGATTAGATTCAGCCACAGCTTGACTGAAGATAGAATCGGTCCCAAAGATGAACCCTTGATTTTGATTATTTTCCCACATAGTATTGTTGTGTGGGACATGTGAAATGTTGGGTACATCTTTGGGTTCCACAGCTTGCGAGGTACTATATGTCATATTGAAGAGATCTTGGTCATTAGATACGCCACGAAGATATGCCTCAAAAGCTCCAGTGCATGGAGAGAGAGTGATTCCCTTAAAGATGTCTTTTGAGGATATATTGTATGCGTTAGGTTGTAGATTAAAGTGATGAGGAGAGATGTTTAGGTTTGGAACATGATCTGAAGTAGTGTTTGACATATTTGATGATAGATTCTTGTGATGAAGATCAGGGTTTATGATCGATGGTTGATGTGATCTATCATGATTTACCTGGAAAGGTTTATGATGCATGTTTTGGACACATGAATCATCATCAGTAAGAGATGGATGAACATCTTTTAAGGTGAGATTGTCATCATAGATCACGGCTGCTAAATACGGATAATGCATTTTTATCACTGACTCAAATTCCATACGATTGAAACAAAGAGATAAAAAACACAAACTAAAACTAGAATTTCACTAGATCTTAAAGAAGAAAAGAGTTGGTGAAGAATATAACGATTTAGAAGAAATCAGTTGATTTCACTGCAAAAACATCTCAAAGAAATTGAGCTAGAAGAAAAGCTGGTTGAAGTAGAGGTAAGGGGTAGAATATTAAGAGTTTATAAATAGGAGATGATGTGAAAATGAGCAGTTGGTAAATATCTAATGTTTAGTGGTCCAAGGGTAAAATAGTCATTATAAGTCGTCATGTAATAATCATGAAGTTATTAAAAGGTTGTTTTAAAGTTTGTAATGTAGTGTAATATTCTTAAGCATGTTTGGACACGTGTTGACCATGTAAATAAAATTGTTTTTTCAGCCACGCGATCATTTTTTTGGTGTTATACAATATCAATCTAACGGTTCAAAATATGACATAAAGTCTATTAATAAATAGAATAGGTCCCACAAACTTTAAGTCTAAAATATTGACCAAAAAAACTTAAGATGGTAAATAACTAATTATTGTATACACCACCCATAATATAAAATTATGTTGATAACTAAACTATTAGAAAAAATCTATGATCAATATTAAAATTTCAGATGCTATTTTCTCTATTCCATTAAACAATTGTTTCATTTTATAATATTTTTTTATTTTTTCTCAATTTTTAATTAAATTTAACTTGATTTGATGTTTTGTTCAAAATATACCATATTATTTTTTGTGGTTGATTAATGTAAAAAGATCATAAAACTATACCTTATATGATTCTAAAAATTCATGTATGCACACAAACTAAATGAATTTTTAGTGTGATATTTTAAAAAGTCTTATATAATGAAATGTAAACTAGAAATAATACCTAGGCCTTGTTTATGTAAGTGAAACTTAACATTTTTTTTATTATCCTTCCACAAAGTTTTTTTTAATGTCTAATGAACCACAAAATGTGTGGCTCAAACTCATACATATACATATTACCTCTGATATTTAATGCCAAAATAAAAGTATTTACTTATTTCATTAGGATAAAGTATTAGGAAATAAATAATACTCAAAAACAGATGAAGATTTATATAAACAATAGTTTTATGGAATGAAATAATATTTAATTAGGATAAAGTATTAGAATAAAGTATTAGGAAATAAGTATTTACTTATTTCATTAGGATAAAGTATTAGGAAATAAATAATACTCAAAAACAGATGAAGATTTATATAAAGAATAGTTTTATGGAATGAAATAATATTTAATAGAAAAAAAATCAATGTTGTCTATAAAAATTATTTTCTATAGAAATTTTAAAGTTATTCATTCAAAATAAACTCTATGGAAGAGACAAACTAAAACTACTCTAAATAAAAAAAAATTACAAACTGGAAAAATATAGTAGAAGCCAAATGATATGATGATGTTGAATAGGAAGTTATAATTTTGTAACCGAATATTTGATATTACATATCATAGTAATAACGATGACAGGTTTGAACAAATGACATTTAAATCCAAAAGAGACAGCCTATTAAAACTTATAATAAACAAATCTAAATGGTTGAAAAAGTCTTAGTCTTGTTAAACTATCTTGTCATTATCTTACTTCAGTTTTATCTTTTTACGAAATAATTAATTAAAAATCTTCACAATACATAAAATATAAACTAAGTGAATATAATTAATTAATTATAAAAAGTTGAAAACATATTGATATCAACAAGGAATCATACCTGAAAGTACCTTTGGCGTGTGGCATGGTCTGAGAGCAGAATTTTGTGGACCTTTGCATGATGTCCACTTGTAATTAAAGAGGTCTTAGATTTCGCATAAAACATGGCCGGGAAACGGCATGTTTGTCACTTTCCATCTGTAGCCAGAGAGAAAAATATCATGCATTCCACAGTCTTTTCAAACTCTCTATATGAGTAGAAAGGTTTGGAAATGTTTGGATCATTTTAAAATAAACTCTTATTGCGTACTAAGAAAGAAAGCTTAATAAATATTTGATATGCTAAAGTTTATCATTGGTGAAAGATTTTTAGAATTTCTCAAAATTACATTTTAATAATTAAAAATTATCAACCACTGAAACAATGTGGAAGTGTTGCGAGAGATTTTCACGAATGCTAAAAAGATTTTATTTTGTATTGGTGAAAATTTTATTAAAACTCACTAATGTTGATGTTTTTAAAGTTTTTCAACCAAAAAAAACAATCTTTCAAACATACTAAAGATAAGAGCATTCTTATTGCAAGGTGTTCTCAACAAGATGTCCTAAATAAATTTAATATCTTATTTTATGTAATTTGATTTATAATTAAATTTAACACTAAATAAAAAGTAAACTACTTAAGAGATTAAAAGATTGACACATGTATTTATAGGTTCTCATTACAGAACCCCCTTCAAACAATCTCCTTACTTTTAAATATTTTTCTATTTTATTTTGTTGAGATATGTATTAAGAATCCTTCAATAAACATGCTCTAACAAATAAGCTCCTTAACCTCCATTATTTACATTATTGCTATTGGATAAAGCTTAGGGTCATCAATTAGTAGGAGTGAATAAAATGTCCACAAAATTTGATTCAATATGTTATTCGTTTTGGTTTGACTTGAAAATTTTGAATATTTGTAACTTTACGAATCAAAGCCAATATTTTTATCTACATACATTTTATAATTTTTATTCTTTAAACTAATTATTTAGTTATTAGTTTTTTTAAAGTGTGTAGTTAACTAAATTTATGTAAAAAATATTATTATTTTATACTGATCATTTCTTTTTTTTTCCTTTTTCTTTGATTTTTAATTTTATAATTTTTGTGGATCGAATAGAATATCTATTAAATTTTCCAATAACACTGAATATCTGAAAGATATGGATTGGATTGAAGCGAATAATTGATTATCCGCGCGGAGCGGAACAAATCACCAATGAAAGAATGATATTTAAAATTGTTCACACATGTTAAAAATTTTGATATTTACTTTTATCTATTATTTTCTGTTTTTATGTTTAATTATTTAAATATTTTATTTGCTTCCCAATAAAATTTCACCACTTATGTATTTACATTTAAAAATATTTTTAATTTTAAAGTAAAATTTATTAACTAAAATTTAAAATATCAATATTTTGTATAAAGAGAAAAAATAAAAAGCTATCTTTTGTGAACGAAAAGAGTATAAAATTATCACATGAGTTTGATATTTGACTTTTCGATTATCACCCAAACAGCAAATACATTCAAAGCAGTTACGCCACTTCCGAGGGAGTGCTATGAGTCGCAGTTGGCTTTCCAACAATATCGGTGACAACTTACGTGTGAGGTATCTAAAACGCCAAAACTTTTTGGTTATGAATTAAAAAAAAAATATTTAACCCTGTGACTTTTTTATATAAAATTTTCAAAGCAATAATTTCACTTTATAAGCACAAAATCTTTTTTAAAAAAAAATTGCCAAGTAACCAAAAACACCATTTCTCTCCTTTTTTTTCTTCGTATCGCTCTCTACCCTCCTTTTACAACACTAATTTCCCTTTTTGTTATTATACAAATAAACCCTTTTCAAAAAGCACTACATTTCGACCTGGGCATCGAACCGAGTCATTGACTAATTTTAGATGTCTTTTTGTTACATTTATATGCATTTTACGACAAGAAAACTAGCATATGGTTATGTCAGATCTGGTCTTAACTACTAGATCTGGTTTTAACTGTTATAAGTTTGAAAATTTAAATATACAAAAAACACAAAGTTATAATATATATCTTTAACAAAAATACTTCTTCAGTAATTGGTTGAGATTCTACTGACCTAAGAGGTAATTTTCGACAGATGTTTATTTTGTCGATATATGGTCGGGAATGATTTGAAATTTCCTCTGTTGTCTTATAGTGAATATATTTGTTCTTAATAAGCATTGGTATATATGCTTTGCATGATCTACTTGATCTATATTTATTCTTTTTTATAAGCATAGTATATTTGATCTTCATTTTCTGATATGTGTCACCATTCAAACATATAACACTTGTATTATTTTGTTTGGATTTAGGTCAGAGGCCACTACATCTGATTATCCTCATCTGGGCCACACTTTCCGATGCCAACGACTTCAAGATCATGGTCACTGATCTTGACACGTTACAATTTGCGGTACATTTCGTTTTTACCTTAACTATTTAGGCTAACCAAAAGAAAACATTAAATTTTGTTATTTTGAAGTATTATGATGCCCATTTTAATAGCATATGTTAGTGGAGCGGTTAAATAGAGCACGAGTCTATAAATAACAAAAAAAATATTAAGACATCTAAAAAATATAAATATAAATTTGGTTTAGAATTTTAAAAAGATTTAGATATACTCCTCTTAAATTTTAGTTTATAATTTGAAGAGAAACCTCATATATATAGAGATAAAGCTATTAACTTTACAACTATGTAATATATAGTTAATATCTTTTTGAACGGATCTTAATATAATTTGAGTCTGTCATTTTTTTGTTTTTTTGTCATCAACATAAACAGACTCTATGTAGACTCTGCAAACCACTCTGATAACTCTATATCCATATGAATAACGAAAGACGATTATTTCCTAACACCTCGTGCCAGATTGTCTGCCTTAGTATTCAGAGCATGTGAAATATGGATGATGTGTGAGTGATTGAAACTCTCTTTAAGGATCTTGATGTCTTCCAAATAATTCACAAAGGCTGGCTATTCCTCTGGTGCAGAAACCATATTCACCAACTGAATGCAATCCCTCGCGAACGTAACATGACATTGACGTAAGTTCCTCATCCTTTCCATCGCCCATATGAGAGATTCTATCTCTGAGTGTAATGGCGAGAGACTAGCTCTCGTATTCATAGCTCCCATTAACCCCTCAAAACCTTGTAAAGTATTGTACTAGCCCTGTCCAGAGAAAGTATCCTGAGCTTTCCATGACCCATACGTAAAACATCAGTAACTCGGAATCGAAGGTAAGTTAACATGTCTAGTCTCAACCGCCTCGGAAATCCGATGTGTAAGTGTGGCCTGAGCTTCCATCCAAAGTAAACTTTATGTTTCTTCCAATTTATGTGTATCCGTCGGAGCCATATCAATATTGCTGAAAACTTTATTATTCATTTTCTTCCAAATGTACCACAAAATCCATGCAAACTGATAATCGTCAATATCCCTGGACACTTTCTAATATAGATAACCCATATTTGCGAACAGTCCCTGAGTTGGAAAGATATCTGGCTGAGATGAGATATTTGAAAGTGCCCAAACTTAGACCGTCGAAGGACATTCAGAAAACACATGATTTATTGTTTCCTCACTTGCTCCACATCGATCACATTGAACATCACCTTGCATACCCCTACTCTGCAGATTTTTCTTTAGCAATATACATCGTGATATTATATGCTAGAGAAAGTGTTTCATCTTGGGTAGACATCGAATCTTCCAAGAGTGAGCTTTTGAAGGAGTAACTATGGGACAACAATTATGGGGATTGGGTTTATTCTGTTATAAATGCAAAATCGTACCTGTCTGAAATATGTTATTAAACTTCATGTATACTTTAACTTAGCAATTTGATCCTGAAAATTTTGATATTGTGTATATTAGGCATGGGCGTTAGGGTATCCCTTCGGATTTTGATCATGTATTTTGAGTTTTTGGGTATTTTTTATATAGCAGTATAGATCCCGTTCGAATATTTTTTATATATCTGGTCGGATAGGATATTTTTAGTTCAGGTTAAGGTATTTTGTATATAACTGAAGCAACAAAAATGTTTAACAAATTACTGTGAACCAGACAACTTAGCCGGATTCAAATTGGTTGGTGTGAAATTCCTTTCTGGTTTTGCTAGATCTAGAAACTGATGCATTGATGTTTATGCTCATGGTTTTTGTTGAATTTATTTTGTCATATTGCATACATCCCAAGCGAAGAATAGAGCTCCATCTTCTAAGGAATTAACAACGGTGATAAGTTCACTTAATAAGAAGCTTGCAGCTGATCGCTGTATTTTAATGAAGGTCAAATTTTTTTAGTATGTTTTGTGTATGTTTCTCTATTACCGATTGCTTGATTCCTTTTTACCATAATTCTTTTTGATGAAAACTAGAAGAATTTGTGTTGCATAACCCAAAATTACTTCTTCGATGTTGAACAAGAAGAGGATAAAAAAGATGAACTGGAATGGGAAAAGCAGATTTAGGGTTTCATATATATGTTCGACTATTTCAGATAATGTTTCTGTGTTAGATTAGGATTTTATTATGGGCTTCCAACTTAAAACCAATTGGTGATTAGTGGATTGGCCTTAACCATTTATATAGTAGTAAATTAATTCTTATATCCGATGTGGGATTTTTCTCATCAATACCCTCCCTCACGCTCAGACATCTCTAGGTCTGAAGCGTGGACAATGTGGGAATAACATCCACAGAGGGCCCAACATCGGTATAGTAGTAGTAGTTGTAGTAAATTAGGTCAAAGGATCTTTATCGCTCTGATACCATGTTAGATTAGGGTTTTATTATGGGTTTCCAACTTAAAACCAATTGGTGATTAGTGAATTGGCCTTAACCATTTATATAGTAGTAAATTAATTCTTATATATCCGATGTGGGATGTTTCTCATCAATATTTCGAATATCGTATATAAGTTATCTGAAATATATAAAAATAGCTGAATGGGTTTTTGATATACCAGATAACTGACCGTGTTTGGTTATCTGGTCATGTTCATTTCAAAACACATTCGTCTATTTTTATATATTGGTTCAGTGCGGATTTGGGTATTTCAAGTTTAGGTAATTAATGCGATGGGTAAAATACTTTGATCTACCAAATATGATTGGCTAAGCTGGGTCCCACCGTCAAACTTTGTCCATAAATAGACGGTCCAGATCTGGTGTAATCGATTATTTTTTTAAATTAACATCCACTCTTTGTAATAAGAAAATCAAAGAGGGGTAGAATGGTAAATAAAATCGTCGAATCAGTCACTGGTGGAACTGATCCGATAACAGAAACATATTTTTTTTCTTGGAAAATATTAAAGAATTTGCATAGCCATGTTTTAGGATTCTCGCGAGAAACTGAGCGTAATGGGAAGAGCGTTCGTGTATGTGATCCTGGGAGGAGGTGTTTCTGCTGGTTACGCAGCTCTCGAATTCACGAGGAGAGGTGTCTCCGATGGCGAGCTCTGCATCATTTCCGATGAACCCGTAAGCATAACCTTTCTCTCGCTCTTGTTTGGTTATGGATCAATATTAACTGTAATCTTATACGTTTGTTTTTTATCTATTAATAACTAGCTTTGGTTTTTGATTTTTTTTTTTATCTCTAGGTTGCACCATATGAGAGACCTGCATTAAGCAAGGGTTTTCTGCTGCCAGAAGGTAAGAGAATCCTAGTAACATATATACACATTTTCTGAAGAAAACAAGTATTGAGTTATTATAGTTTTTTTTTCAACTATAAGAGTTATTATAGTTTCACTCATTAAATAGTGTTAAGGGTTAATTCAAGATCTTTAATCTACAGATCCTACACGGCTTCCTTCTTTCCACACTTGTGTTGGGGCTAATGATGAGAAGCTCACCCCAAATTGGTACAAGGAACATGGTAATTAAGTTTTCACTTTTAATTTTTTTATCAAGAAATTAAAGTAGTACTTGCACTTGCCTATACTTTGGGCTCTGATTTTTTTTTTGTGAGATGTTTTTGTTAGGAATTGAACTAATCCTTGGAACTCGTGTTAAGTCCGTTGATCTGAAGAGGATGACTCTTGTATCAAGCACCGGGGAGACTATAAGTTACAACTTCTTGATCATTGCAACAGGTGCCAGGGTATGGATTGCACAATAATCAACTTATCATCCTTGCTTTGTTACATTAATTATGTTATTATTATTTTTACCTTTTTGGCATCTTTACATTATGTTGTTACTTACCATCATTTTAGTTTTAAATTAACTGTAGTCAATGGTTTTGTAATACTAGAACATCATTTAATAATGTTTTGCTAAGTTTTGAACTTCTAATTAGCCGTGGCCTAATTCTTGTGGGAGCAGGCGATGAAGCTCGAAGAATTTGGTGTGGAAGGCTCAGATGCTGAAAACGTTTGTTACTTGCGTGATCTGAGCGATGCTAATAAGCTTGCCACTGTGATCCAATCAAGCTCCAATGGGAATGCTGTTGTTATCGGTGGTGGCTATATTGGCATGGAGTGTGCTGCATCTTTAGTGATTAATAAGATTAATGTGAGTATGGTTCTTCCAGGAGCTCACTGCAGTAAGTACTCTCCATTATTTACTCAATAAAGCATGTGTTGTGTCTGTGTGGTTGGCTTGACATTTTTCAGTTTCTTATAACAGTGGCGCGTCTCTTTACGCCTAAAATTGCAGCTATGTATGAAGACTACTACAGTGCTAAAGGGGTGAAGTTTATCAAAGGAACTGTTATGACATCATTTGAGTTTGATGAGAATCAAAAGGTTAGATGTTTTTTAGCTTGAGATTCAGCTTGGGATTTTGAACCGAACCAAACCAAAACTTTGGTGAGTTCGGTTCGATTTGGTAGGCTTTCTCAAAAAGTTTGGTTTTCGTTTCAGTTTGGTTCGATAATCAGTTACTTCAGTTTCTTTTATAAAATAAATTTTACCAATATCATACCAAAAACCCGAACTTAACTAACAAAATTATCCGAAAATATCCAAAATTTAACAAAACTAAACCAAAACCTAACCGAAATCAACAATTTTGGTAGGATTTTTAAAAACTAAACTGCGAATACCATTTATGTTGAACCAAACTAACCTGAACCGAATAATCCAAACTAACCGAACCCGCATGCCTAAATAGAACAAATGAGCCTTCTGATCTCTAGCATTGTTTGCAGGTCACCGCAGTTAATCTCAAAGATGGGAGCCAGTTACCAGCAGATATGGTGGTGGTTGGAATCGGGATACGACCAAACATAAGCCTGTTTGAAGGACAACTAGCAATGGAGAAAGGAGGTATAAAAGTGAACAGCAAAATGCAGTCTAGTGACAGCACTGTATATGCAATAGGGGACGTAGCTACATTCCCAGTGAAACTATATGGCGAAATGAGGAGGCTAGAGCATGTGGACTCAGCTAGGAAATCTGCACGGCACGCAGTTTCAGCGATCATGGAGCCAGAAAACACTGGAGAGTTTGACTACTTGCCGTGTTTCTACTCAAGGTTCTTTGCCTTCTCGTGGCAGTTCTATGGAGACCATGTTGGTGAGGTTGTGCACTTTGGGGAGTATGAAGAGGGTAAAGTGTTTGGAGCGTATTGGGTTAAAGAGGGTCACCTTGTTGGGACGTTTCTAGAAGGAGGGACTAAAGAAGAGTATGAAACTATCTCAAAGGTGACGCAGTTGAAACCAGTTGTTATGGATATGGAAGAGTTGGAGAGAGAGGGACTCGGGTTTGCTGAGAGGGTGGTGAGTCAGCCAGTGGTTGAAGAAGTTAAGGAAGTAGTAGTTCAGAGCTCTGAGGTGGTGAAGCAGGTGGCAAGAGTGGTGACTATGGAGAAGCCTGTGCATGTTTGGCATGCGGCGACTGGAGTGGTTGTTGCTGTTTCTGTGGCTGCGTTTGCGTTTTGGTATGGTAGGAGACGCCGTAGATGGTGAAAATGATTTATTTGAAATGGGATTTGCTGTTTTTTGTAGCATTGGTGGGAGAAATTGAAGTCAATGTGATTACATTGGTATACGATTATTATTATTATATGCTTCCACTACTGATAACAAATGTTTCACTACGAACTCTGATTCAAAGTCTTTTTAGCTCTTCCTTGCCAATTGCTGAGAAATGATAATGTTATAACGGATTTGAGAAAAGAAAAAAAACAATGCATAAACAGATGATAAAACATGATAATGAAAACGGCAAAAAGATTTAATGGTACAGCAAATTAGATATCACCACAGATAAAGTTACAAGAACACATTAATTAAGAGTAATCAGACCAACTCACATATGAGTGATCGTTTACCGTTTAGGACGTGGACGTCTACATCCCCATATGAGAAATCTTCATGCTATCTAATGGTAGTTTCAAGATAATATAACACTAGGTATTAATCTACGCTTTGCGCAGAAGGTAATTATTAGTTTGTTTATTTTTAATAAAGAGATATCAAATCTGTTTAATCTGAATATATGTTTGTTTAAGTTGTTTTTTGTTTTTAATCTCCTAAAATATAATTCTCATTTTAAATCAATATTTATTTTGGTTTGTTCGGTTATTTTTTTATGATTTGTTTTTTTTTTCCAGTGATAACTAAAAAGTACTATTATTTGTTTGTTTTCATGTTATAAATTTTACATAGTCGTGATGTCGAACTAATGGTTTCATATTATATTTTCCAAACAGATAATAGTTAAAGAAAAAAAAAGAAAATTATTAAGACAACTCATTTCACTACAATTTGGTCGGTAGTAAAAGAAGCATTAAGAAAAATAATATTTCAATTTCAAAAAAAATTAGATACTTCAGTTGTGGTGAATACTTAGTTATATGGTGCTCATATCAAGGTGTACATGTATATGTATGTAAAAATATATAAAATGGTTGATAAATATATAAAGATACTGTTAATTAATATTAAATAACATCTTTTGTTAAAAATAACACATGAAATATATAAATTTTAAAATAAATTAATTAAAATAAGTAGACATAGAAATTAGTGAATTTTTCATATAAAGAAAATAAAATTGTATCCGTAAATATGGGTGGACAGGGATCGACTATCCGAGTATTTGGAGGCATTTTTGTCAATTCGATCTTTAGCCACCTGAATATTTTGTGATTCGGAAAACCAAATTTTTTTAGAAATTTAAAGAATATCTGAGTTGATTCGTAAATAAAATAAAAATTTTAACATAAATAAAAAAAATAATAATACTGTATTACAAAGTAAACATTATTTATTTATTTTTAAATTCTAATACCTAATATAATAAATTTAATACATAAAATATTGTAAAAGTTATATCAACTATAATATATATATAACATATATATATAACTCGTTACATATATGTATATATATATTCATATAACGGAACAAATTGGATGTCCGTTCATAAAAATATTGATAGTCAAAAGCGAGAATCATACCTTAATAGTCCTTTGACTATTAAAATTTTAAGGGTAAAAATGTTAAATGTAAAAGTGAAATAGTGTATCAAGAATGTGTTAGTTTTAGCAATTTTCCTAACTCAAAACTAAACCGATGTTAGCTTGGGCCACTGGATTATCAAATTATGCCGTTTACAATTTATTTCAAGCAGCCGAATGAGAGGTTTGGTTGAAGAACTTCAGGGTGGATCTGTCTGCAAAAATATTTAAATCTAAAAAAATGAACGAGGAAGACGAAGACATAATTACCATTTGTCATTCTTTCTTATATTTTGACCTTATTTTTAAAACCAAGATATAACATATATAGCTACAAAATATTATAAACAAAAAAAGAATAGACTACAGATATGCTATTAGTCCACTAAATTTATAACTTTAATATATTTCAAAACTTTTTTAAAATTAGCATATATAACATATTATACTATGTCATTTTACATTACATAGTTTCAAATATTTATAAAATCAAATTTAATAGAAACACATTAGCAAACCATCTATTAAAAACAATTTTATATTTTACGTTAAACTATTTTTTTCAAATCATAGTAAGTTTTTATTTCTATTAAAATTCTTACAAATCTATACTATCAAATTAACCAAAAAAACTGTGAAGTAAATCTTATGTCTCAGCAACTTAACAAATGTAGTTCTTAGTTTATTTACAAAAACAATAAAACGAGAGAGTAAGTTAAGGTATTGGGGTATGGGGTCAAGTATGTTTTGGTTATGAGTTCAACGGTCCTAAACCTTTGAACATTACTAAATATTTGAATTATTGTTTTTTCAACATTTAGTTTCGTTTTCAGGTCAGTTTCTTAGGGCTACGTCGGAGTAGATTCATAATTTATATACCTATAATTTTGGGCTATTTAATACACGAAAAAGAATCAAAGTTGCCAAAAATTCAAAAATATAATGAAGCATTAAAATACTAGAAAACCCAAATAAATACCCAAAAATATTTAAATAAATGCCTAAAGTATCCAAACTTTTATCTGAAATCTTACATGATGAACTGAGAATAGGAAAAAAAAAAAAAACTAAGTACCCAAAATATCTTTTTAAAATTTTGGAATTTCACCCGATAAATTATAATCGAAATGCGAACCAAAACTAAAAAACAAATGTAATACCGAAAACCTATCTGAAATAACCAAATATACCTATTATACAAAAAAAGATTCAAGTACAGTAGAACCTCTATAAATTAATACTCAAAAAATTAATATACACTAAATATCTCTATAAAATAATATAATTTTACAGTCCCAAATTGAGTTTTTGGTTCGATTAGTATATCGATAAATTAATATCTCTCTAAATTAATAAAAAAATAAAAATTTGGTGTAGTCTCAACATCATTAATTGATTTATAGAGGTTTCACTGTACTTTGGTTAGCCGATCATATTTTGGGTAGGATCCGGACTCAAACACAGACCGAAGGGCCAGAACAAAAAAAATCTAATATGTACGTGCCCTAGACCCAAACCCATTCGCACCTATATTTTCGAGTCAATTTCGGTTATATAACTTTGTAGCATAATAATATAAGATAATTTTAGAATACTAATCTACAAAATTTGTTTACAATCCAAAGAAAAGCCTGCGCTTTGCGAAGCGAGGATCAAAATTTAGTTATCTATACTATTAAAACAGAAGGCCCTTTTTTCAGGCGCCCTTCTGTTTCAACAATATTTACAGAACAATGCCACTGCATAATTTTCTAAGCTATGCTTTGTATTAAAGCGGTTTTACCCGATGCAAGTGGGTTTGACCCGATAGAATATTCTAAAACAATACTTTTTACTTAATTCTGTTTTCTGTTTTTCTTTTATTTATGCAGCAAAAATCACACATTTAATTAATATAACCCTTTTCATTTATTTATATATGCTTTCGAGATAACATTGCCTATATATTTGCATGATATAACACATATATATTTGTCATGTACATTTTGAATCAAACACATCCTTCCATCCATATTACGAAATAAATGTGCATACGATTATATAAATTAATGTACATACAAAC